CCTCATGCTCATAGTGATTAGAAATTGAGATTGCGTCCTCCGTAGGCACTGGTGGAACTGTCGGCGAGGGTGCATGAAGTGGAGACACTGGACGAGTGGATTGTGGAGATCACGAATGTGGGCATCGTGTGCTATGAGAAGGGAGACAGTCATCATAGTAATGGTCATATCTCTGATGGTGAGTTGGGGAGCGTCTTGGAGAGTAGCCTCTGGACGCATTGCATCGATGTGAATATCCTGAGCTTCTTGAGGATCTTGGTGAGACAGATCTAACAGAAAAATGAGATGGAGAACGAGAATAGCAAGAGTAGTGAAAGCGGTAGTGATGGTATGATGGCGATGATGAAGTGATCTATGGTAGTGATCCCTGGTGGAGACATAACGAGGAGCGTGATGGTTGTACAAGCAAGATGAAGCTGGTGACCAGGGTCTTGGGGAGAACCCAGCTCGGTCTGGCGTGAGGGAATGGGTCCGAACACGTCTTGACTTGAATAGTGCGTTAGTCAGCACTGAAGAATCAAGAGGGGAACCGGTTGAATAGCTGCCATGAGGATGAGTCAGTGGTGCCACAGGAGCTAAAAGCTGTGCCAGTGCCGGAGGAGGCTGCAGTGCAGAGAGCTGCGTGACACCGATGCTCGGTCTTTGTGATGAGCAAGGCTTAGGGCTGAGGCACTGCGGCCCTTGCCCATCTTCTCCGTTGGGTGCCTCGGCAAGAAGCCAGAGGTGCCTGGTCTGTCTCCCATGCTCCTTCGCTGCGGTAGTTCAGCCGGTTTGTGGAGCTCCTTTGTGGGTGAATGAGCTGCATGAGTCCCGGAGGCAATGGAGGATGGCTTGCTCACATCAGTCTGGAGGGCTTTATTGAATAAAATTACTCTCAGCTGCATTTTACGATCTCCGTTGGGTGCCTCGGCAAGAAGCCAGAGGTGCCTGGTCTGTCTCCCATGCTCCTTCGCTGCGGTAGTTCAGCCGGTTTGTGGAGCTCCTTTGTGGGTGAATGAGCTGCATGAGTCCCGGAGGCAATGGAGGATGGCTTGCTCACATCAGTCTGGAGGGCTTTATTGAATAAAATTACTCTCAGCTGCATTTTACGATCGCGCCTGGCACGCGCTGTCAGTTTCATACAATGCGAGCACTTCATTGGGATGTGCCTGTCCCCCAGACATTTAACACAGCGTGAGTGCTCATCAGATGCGGGCATGGCATCTTGACACTGAACATTTCTTGAAGCCAGGCATGGTCTTTGCAAGTTGCAAACAACAAGAAAACAGCTTTTTTTTTTTTTTAAGTTAAGGCTACTGAACACCAACTATAAGATTAGGACAGGAAAACAAAGATTTTGAAAACTAACTAGACTAACTATTAACAACTACACTAACTACAAGTGGCAATTAAAGTCTCTAAAGTAAAAATCCCTTTTTCTCCTCAGGCTGGAGAGGGAGAACATCCTAGGTCCATCTGCAGCCGCGGATGGTTGAAAGGAAACAGATGAACCAGCCCGTGCTCAGCTGTAACAGCTCGAACAGTGTGAGACAGCAGGAGCGCATGCGTGGGCCGGCAGGGCTACTGCTAAGGAAGTTTCTCCGTTTGTGGTGCCGGGACGAGCCCAGCACCTCGAGTGGAGCACCCTCGGAGACACTACTCGACGAAGAAGCGGGAGCTCCACAGGCTGGAGCTGTGCGATTTCACTAGTCAGTTAACCTAATGTTTGGCCTGTTAACTGATTAACCAGGATTTTAACATCCCTAATTCTATCATATCTAAAGAATCTCATTTGACAATATATTTTTCTACCAGAAAGAGATGTTGAACTATATGAACACTAACAGCCTTAAAAAAAGGGTAATGAAAGGGTTTAACATACCCTACATTTTTAGAAAGCTACAAAAATATGTTTAGATTCATTTGCATGCATAGATACTGAAAACTCTTTTCTTACTTGTCCAGACCTGTACTGACAGGCCGTTTTTCTTGCCAAACTCTGACACAGAGAATACTTAATCAGAGTAAGATTCTGTATTCACTGTCTCTGGTCTAGATGTTGCTGGCACTGGCACCAGCAACACCTGAAATGGAAACAGAGCCAACGTTGGTTTTGCCAAGCAAATGAAAAAACACTGATTTCCAAATATTATGTACATTAAGAACTAACTTTGACCTGGCAATGTACAAAAGAGAACATAGCTCTGCTCTTTGCCGTTGAACAGAGCCCTGGATCTGGCTCCCGAGGCCCACAGTTCCCCCAACCCCAGCACTGGGGAACCCATGCTAGAGCTCCAGCCCCTCCAGTACCCTTTCCCCCTATGGGGCTGGAGCACACAAAATCTACTAGCCTGAACCTCCAACTAGGCTCTGGTATGTCAGGGGAATGTGGGGAGGGGAGCCGCGTCAGTGAGAATTTGGGTTACTTGGGTTTTTGGGGGGGGGGTTTTTGCTTCTCACTTGTGTGTGGCCCCAACCCAAAAAAGGTTCTTAAGAACTAATAGTCTTTAAAAATGCTTTATTATGTAAATATATTGTAATAAGTTTAAACACTTAATATTGATTTAGGATTTTAAAACACACCTTTAAAATCAAGTGTGCACAATAAGAATAAAAAGGTCCTACAGAATAGATCATCTTCAAAGAAAGGATTCACAAAAGTTAAGAAGCTGATTGCTCAACCCAGACACCTGAAAGTTTACTAAAAACCAGGCAGGACTTCTTCAGCTTGACTGAAGTGTGACATTCACTTGTGAATAGCTTATTTTTACAATTGCCATTGCTGAGACTTTTATTGCAAGAGGGAGGGTGTGTTTGAAAAGTGACAACAGGTCACATCATGAGACAACATAGACCAATTTCTACTCTAATTACAGAAATACCTTCATGACTTAAAAATCCTTTAAAGAAAAAAAAGCCATTCCTTTATTGCAGTATACCATTTCTACTCTGAGATCAAAGGGGATTAATGCAAATCTTATGATCTTAGAAAATGGGCGAGGAAAGAGTTCTTCTTAGCTTATGCCATATTCTTATCTTTCTTCTTCCCAAATAACTACAGCCAGCAGGCAGCTTCTCTCCCTATCTTTATTTTATCCTTTTGTGCTCCTCGCTCCTTCTCTGCTGCTTCAGCTCTTCTCCCAAAGTTTCTCACTCAAATCAAAATTGCACCATCATTAGCTTCCTGGCTGTTGCATGTTCTCACTCCCATTCTTGACTTTTCTAAGAAGTATTTGTGCTTTTATGCTCGGTTCCAATATAGTACGTTAAATTATATTGGTCCCCACCCCCAGTCTTGGGTGCAGCAGGACCGTCAACACTGGTTGACCCATAAAAGGAGCCAGCTTCAGGAACCCCAATGGGTTTTTTTTACATAATATTTTGAGAGTATTTCAGTGATAAAACTTCCATATTATATAGGAATCCCATTTTCAGCAGTCTTATTCAAATGAACTTAAAGGTGACTATATCAAGGCAAAAGGGGGGGGAAAAAAGAGAAGAAAACAGGAGTCGGCATGGCACACAGGGCACTGGACTGTGTTCTATTCTTAGTTCTGCCTCTGACCTGCTGCATAGATTTAAGCAAGTCATTTCCCTATGCTTTAACCTTCCTATTTAGTTTGTCCTATATAGGTAAGTTGTGGGATCTTGGGGACATGGGACTTTGCTCTACTATACATTTGCATATCTATCAAATGGGACTTTGTCTTGTCTGAGGCCTCTGAGAATTACTAAAATATAAAAAGTCTTCACTATTACCATTTTGCCCTCTCATGAAAAATCTTAATGTGACTTTGAAGCATCAACTACATTTCATAGTAAAATTTGTAACCTCATACCACATGCGTAGTCATGCTCAGAAATACCTACTGTTCAGATTGCCAGCTTAGCAAAATTTAAGTACCATTTTTCAAGACGACCATTGAGAGTATTTCCATAACCTATCCGCACACCAACCCCCTCTGCAGATATCAAAACCTGTATCTACTATGGCAGGTGAGGAAGGGTAACAATGTCTAAAGACATCTAGATAAATTTAATCTAAAAGTAAAAATTTTCTATATAGCACCTTGCATAATCTAGATATTCCAAATCATTTCTATTATGTTGTTATATTGCACCCATGATTATGAATTAGAAACCGGTACTAAGCCAGGGGAGCATGCCACATGGAGGGAGCAGCCAGCTGTTCAAAATAGGGTATGGGTGTGGGGGAGTGAGCATGAAGTCTCTTGCCCCCCAGGGATGCTCAGCTCTGAACAGCACATGGAGGGAACCCATGTGGCTGGGAGTGGGTAGGAGCCACCTAAGGCTCCTGGCTAGAGCCTGCCTCCAGCACCTAAGCGCCTGTCTCTTGCACCCCACTCTCTCCCTCTTATCTCTCTGCCCCAGGTCATCACCCCCCTCTTGCCCTAAGTCACCACCCAAATCTCATGCACACTGTCCCAGATCACAATTCCCTTCCAGATGCTGCACCCCCTTCTATAATCCTCCCCCAACTCAAAATTCACTACTACACCCCTACTCCCTCCCAGACCCAGCATCCTAAGCCCCTGCCCAAGGTCACAATCCTCCATTTCACATGAACTCCTGAGACCTCACACTGTCTCCTGCACCTCAATCCCCAACTCTGAGCTCCCTTCTGCACGTAACCTCCAACCCTAATGCTGCACCCACTCCACAGAGAAGGGCAGTCCCAGACCACTTTCCAAAATCTTGGAGTGGGCCCCGATCAAAAATTATTGCCCACTCCTGAACTAAGCAAATGTGGCCACTATTATATGTTGAGTATTAACAGAGCAGTTAGCATTATGAGACTGGCTAGTACAGCAAAATCAATTTTGATAATCTTGTAATCTGCATGTTTTACCTGAATAGCCTTCTAAGGTATGGTAAAGCAACTTGGCTTTGATATCCAGTCTTTAACATGGTAGCACCAGTAAGCAGAGTTATGTCAGCAATGGGTATAAGCCCAAAAATTTGGTTAAAATACATTAGATGTTATAGAATCTAATACTTACCTTTGCCTGTCAGAAGTAGCATAGGATTGTACCGCATTCTTCCATTTGTAAGTAATAGGGTATTTCTGTGGATCAATCTCTACTCCTTCTACAGCTGCTAGGACATCACTATCCAGCTTTGATGGCTGTTCCCTAAAATACAAATGGAACTAGATGAAAACAGTTAAAATTTTTAGACAAGATAATGTCTTATCTAATAGAAAGGTTCATAATCAAGAACAAGCCTGCTTGATGCATAGGAGCTAGCTCATAGACTGAGGAATCTGTTTGAATCCTTAGTACTGTAAGAAAACTGCAGATCTCTTTTCTTCATAGCCAACTGTTTTACACACAATCTTTAGAGAGCATGAAAAGGCTGCATCTTAACTGCAGAAACTGCAAAGCATTTTAAGCATGTATGTAAGAGTTTAACTGATTAATCAATTAACTGATAAGCTGATACTGACTGGTCCTGGTTGTAGTTAAACACTTCTATCTGTGCATGCTGGCTCCCAGCTGCTGGCCCTGCTATTGAGAGCTAGCTGCTATCCCACAGGCTCTGCAGTATAAAACTTATACTATAGAGTCCTCAGTACAACCAGCTCCCCGGGAGCAGGTCTGGCAGCCAGAAGTCGGTGCACATAAGCCCGCTCCAGCTGTCACTTCTGCTACCAGCTGCTGCCCCACATTGAGGGACTGAACTTGCAGCGCACACAGTTGTTTAACTGCTAAGATTTAAAGGTTATATGATTACTTTTTAAAATCACTTTTTACATCCCTAATTTTAAAGGTTTGTCAAGGACAGTAAAACTCCAATTGTTCGGCATCCAGTGGTCCGGCACTCCCGATAGTCCGGCACCAACTGGAACCTGGAAGTGCTCTAAGCTGCTGTGTTTTTTGTCCCAAATACCACAGTCCAATGACAGTTGTCTCAGCATCTGATGGCATTTTGTTTTCTGTCCTTAATTTTGTATCTCCAGACTTTTCAGTAGTAGCTGATTCAGAAGAACAGCTTTTCAGAGAACATCCAGTGGTCCGGCACTCCCGATAGTCCGGCACCAACTGGAACCTGGAAGTGCTCTAAGCTGCTGTGTTTTTTGTCCCAAATACCACAGTCCAATGACAGTTGTCTCAGCATCTGATGGCATTTTGTTTTCTGTCCTTAATTTTGTATCTCCAGACTTTTCAGTAGTAGCTGATTCAGAAGAACAGCTTTTCAGAGAAGGGACCAGCCCGGCAGCACCCTAGCTGCTCTGCCCCCGGCTTCCCCAAGTCCACCGCTGCTGAAACTGACCAGCGGAGGAGTTGGAGAAGATGGGGCAGAGCAGCTGGAGTGCTTCCCACGCTG